ATCTGTCAAAAATAAGCAAAACGTTAACTTTATCCTAGTTGCATAAAATTTGGCATATGGATATAAAATTGCCGTAGACACAACTTTTTCAAGTAACTTTTTGTTAAATTCGATTTAGAAATGCACTTTTTCAATTTTTTTCAAAAAAAAAAAGTTGAATTTGACAAACACTGAACGTCAGTGGGTCGCAGTTGGCCGCATCATTTTAAGTTAAATTTGAAGCACAAACAAGTGGGAAAATGTTCTTCCTGTTTGGCCAATATACAGTTTTGGACAAACAAGTGTGGTAAAAATATTTTACCAGAAAAATAAAAGAAAGAAATGATTATTTCATGAGAGAAAAAAACAGTTTCTAGGTCAAGAGCAGACCGGCACCAGAATCAATTACGTAACTCACGTTTGTGGTAATTTTCCCACAAAAGTAAACATTTTCGATACTAACATTGATTCATTCCATACAAACTTTATCATTTCCTGTGAATACGAGATAAATCAAACCGTTCGCAATAGATACATACACAGAACAGATTTGAAAACAACCGAATTACAGTGTAAGGTTTCATCATGTATAATCCTGTCACTGCTAATGATTTAGGAATATTTTTAACAGTAAACAATGAGTTCGATCTACTTCTGAACATATTCTCATTAGATGTTTGGATAATTTTTGTTTAACATCATTCACTGTTTGTTCCAATATACACATTAATCTATTCGTAGGCGAATCGCAAAGTATTGGACAATAAAACACAAATTTCACGTCTTTGCTAATGTTTCGCGATATTTTTATCGCTTCTCCAGAGCTCAGGCGTAAATCATAGTGAGCGTCGCTCACAAGAACTCGCCCTTTCACAGACCGTAACTTGGCGAATTTTGCGTCGTGACTTGGGCCTGCACCCGTACAAAACTCAACTGACCCAGGAACGACAGGAATGTACACAGGAATGTAAACGACCATAGACAACAACGTGTGTTCGCTGAATGGGCTCTGGAGCATTTGGCAACTGACACCCATTTCTGGATAAATTGGTAAGTGAACAAATAAGGTTGTCAAATTTGGGACGATACCAATCCACATGGGATCCAATAGCGTCCAATGGTGTGAATTTTGGGCTGGCGGCGTGTCATCGGCCCATATTTCTTTGACAACGACATTGATCAGGCCATCACTGTCAACGGTGAGCACTATAGGTATATGATTACCAACTTCTTTTGGCCTGAATTGGATGTTCTGGACACCAACGACATGTGGTTTCAACAGAACGGCGCTACGTGATACACATGCCACATTGGATATTTGGCACGACCGTATGGTTATCTCACGTGGAGGTGATGTGAACTGGCCACCGAGATTGTGCGATTTGACCCCGTTAGACTTTTTCTTGTGGGGTTTTCTCAAGTCACAAGTGAATGCGAATAAGCTACAAACCATAACGGTCAACATAACCCATGCCATCTATCAAATTCAGCCTGATTTATGCGCCAGAGTCATGGAAAATTAGACGATTCGGATGCGCTCCACCCAGAGAAGCAATGGCGGACATTTGAACGATGTTATATTCCATACATAATGACATCAATAGGTCTTTCAAATGAATAAAAAATTCTCATGATATCTCACACACACTTCGTGTGTGTGAGGAAAGAAGAAGCGATAAATATAAACATTGGCACAGACGTAGATTTTGTGTTTTATTGGCCTCAGATTCCCCTACAAATCTAACTACTGGACACTATCAACAAATAAGATAAACTAATTGCATATTCATAACATTTTCAGGTAACTTCGAACAAAAACTGGCAAAATAAACAATCTGTCTCTAAAAACAAATGTACACCACGCCTTTAATATAGTGATCTTTTCGTCAAATATCCAGGGTGGGACTCATTTCATATGTACCCACTGAAATATCTCGAAGGATCTGAAGGCATTGGTGTAATTGAACACATAGAATGAATAAGATAGCAGTGGCGAAATCAAAGAATTTTTTTAAGGGAAATGACGAACAGAAATAAGTATACAAACGTCGTATAGATTTTTATATGAAAATGTAGCTCAACTGAAATAAAGCAAACGAAACTTCTCAGATTCTATTGTTCTTTGGGACTATTGTTTGAAGACGTGGCCTTCTGTTTCGAAAAGTTTCTTTTGTATGGTATCGGGAGTTTAATAATACACCATTTCACAGGTCTTCAGTCTTTCAAGTTTTTGGAAATTCGTAATTTTTTTCAAGTCACTGATTTTGGACCAAGGGTCATTGGTAACTCGTCATCATGTTGATTTATCTCCCTAACAATTGTTGTTTCTCTATGTAGGTACTTACCCATGTTAATCCTGTCGGGGTATACGAGTATTTAAAGAAAGTTATATGGTAAGGACAATACATTCTTTCTCTACATTTATGAATTTGTAATGACTACAAAAATGAAATCCTGGGAGTAGGTTCAAATCATACTTTATCCTTTGCGAAGTACAAATATATGTTTCCTTATTTATGACTAACACTGCCAGAAAAACATCGATCATGTGCATCAATGAATTACCACAAACATATAAAATCCTGTGAAAGCCTCGAATTATATAAAATATGTGTAATGAATTTTCTAATAGAATTAGAATTATACTGAAGGCATAGGCAGAATGGACATAAACCAATTCGAGTAGAATTTCAACAAAACTGATGACCAAAAACAATATTACTATCATTTAATTTTGTGGCCCTTCAGAATTCCTATATAATGTTAATGACGTTGCATTTTATGTTTTTTCAATGTAGAGCATTCCTTGTAATTTATTAATGTTATTCAATTGTTAACCTTGCTTGAGAAGGAACACTTTTAAGAAACCCCGTACAACAATCTACAATATCCGACAACGACCAAAACATTAACAACACTAAACAATAGTTTCGTTTAAATAATCTAGCCAAGCCTTGCACTTACTTCAATCCTCCAAATTTCTAGTCCTGCCTGTTGTCCCGCCGTCTCAAAAGCAGGCTCCATGACGTGACCGGTTTTTTGTCGTTTCGCTACTGGTTGTGAGGATGAGTATGAGGACGTTCTCCTTCCTGACGTGAGTCCGCGACAACCTTCTAGATGAACAACTACTAGCAATACAAAACACAGAAACAAACCGTTTCGCGATTGCCGGCGTGTAGCACCTGTTTGATTCATCGTGCGCATGCGGGATCTGCAACAAAATATTTACATTTGACTGATTAAAGTGTTATCAAAAGATCGGCTAGGCTGGAGGAAAATAGCGTGATCGAGCACGACATTTTGGGGATCATATTTTTTGCTAATGCACAGGGGGTCATCAAGAATTATGGCCCAATTGTTTTCATCATATGACAAGAGCGTCGACATGTAGAAAATGCGGTAATTCAAAAGGTTCGCACTGGTTTGTGCAATAATGGCTGGGAAAACAATATTATCTTCACAAACAAATCAATCATTAAACCAAATTACTTATGGTGCTGCGTAAGTACTCGTTCCTAGTTCAATCGAAGCGCATTATTATGATCAGTTGAAAAGGGCGCCAAAGTAACGTAGACGTTTGCCAAATGGCAAAAAAGAGTTTGTTAAGAGGTTAGTTATCAATAAAATGTTATTATATATTTCAAAAATGAAGTAAATTATCAGTGAAGAATTGTATGTTACCTAATAAACTATTGACAATTGTTACCACTTTAAAATTACAATAGAAATTGATCACCAAAAATATTAATGAATGGGCCATTGAATCAAAGCTAAATTTTCGAAAATATTGTTAGTATACTAATGATTTTATGAACTACCCTTATGGATTGGTTTATCTATTTTCACCACAAAAATACACGAAGTAAATATAAATGTTTCGTATCATCATCAATCGATTGAAAATGAAGACCACTATCACTTCAGACACATTTTTTTTATCCATAAATCACATTTTTGGCATTTTGAACATGTTCAAATATAACATGAACTTTAATTGTTGATGGTTCATTTATTGTTTACGGTTCAAAACAAACTCTATAAGAACAGCTTTTTTGATGAAAATCCATAACGTATTTAAGTGGACTGTAAAAAAATAAGGTGAATGTTGAAATGTCACAGGCTCGCACATTCGTTTTGCGATTTTTTTATTATTTCAGCCATCTGTTAAATCTGTTAAAAAATGGGATTAGTGCTCAGAAACACTTGAAATGCTGTTTGAAGTTCTCCATTACAATTTTCATATTTTTCATATTGGTGAAGGTGAAAATACCCAAAAAATGTCGATACGGATTTTCCTCCACAAAACATGATTTTAATTCAATAATAATGCACTTTAATTTTCTTAATAAACAAAACTGAGGTGGTATTCAAGTTGCTCTTCTATCCAACTTCCATTTTCTTTCATTTTTCATTGGAGACATACTACACGAAAAATCAATAAATTTCCAAATATACTCAGTTCTATTATTTGTTGTAACCAGGAACTAGTAACCAGAAAAAAAAATGCATATTCTCGGGTGTACTCCACAACTTTCTTTTTCGAATAGTGAAACCAACGATAGATATTTGTCAATCCGTCTAGTGGCAGTTTTTACTTATTTTAAAGATAATAACTATGTTCATATGAAAGTAGTTATTTCTAAAGGACTTTTTTTTTCGTGTGATCCAATGTTCATGTGAGAGTAGTTGTTTCGAGAGGGTTTCTTCTTCCAGTTCGTGTATGAAAGAAACTTCTTTGCATGATCTACACATTTTTATTGAGGGCTCATTCACCAGATACTTACGACAGCAAGCGGATAGATCAGATTAGAGGAACGGGCCAACCTTTGGAAAATCAGTATGAACCCTGACTATAGTCAGGCGATACTTTCAACCGGAGGCTGGTACACACGAAAGGAAACGTCATCTTCAACGAACAAGAGATTCCGTAGACCAACGAGGCAAGATACTTGTGAGTCACTCTCGACAGGAGACTAGGTCCAAAGTGAGTAGGTCTATTCGACCCTCCACCGCAACCTCACAGGAGACTAACGTTCAGGTCCGACATACGGCAGACTAGGGCTCCCCCCATACCCTCTCCCGGGTTGAGTGCCCTGAGTTGAAATCTTCTCCACGCGGTTACTGTGTGCAGAACATCCCATCTCGTCCATCCACCCCCGCTCCTCCGCAGCGATCCTCAACTTACTAATGGACACTTCAGCAAGATTGATATCTGACCTTTTTTAGTCGAAAGTCAGTCTTTAGATGCTTTTACTCTCTAATCTAATGTTTGCTTTTATCATGGCTTTCCTAACAAAATTTTTGCATGGGGTCCCCAAAAACTAACCGGAGACAAGTGCCTTTTGTCGCGAGCAAGTGTTGTTTCTCAATGAATCTGAAAATAACGTGAATTTGAAATATGGTTAAGAAATTTTTATACTTACCGGAGCCGCCTGATAGCGACTCTCGGGGGTGGTCTCTGGTTCTGCTTCGTTGGCCTCCTGTGTTTGTCCCTCTCTCGGAATCTGGGGTCATCCATGTTTTATGCATTGTGTAGATCGCTTAGCACCGGATTGTCGTGCGCTCGAATTCTGTCAAACGTGTCCTCTCGCGTGTTTTCTCATATATGCGTCTACGCAGTGTATGTTCAGGTTTAGATCCCGGAAAATGTACCTATTCGGTACATATCTTAGAGCGTTTACGGCGGCCCTTACACACGCCTTCATAAACGACTGGATTTGTCTTCTCGCCCCAGGCAGTGCAGGCATACAGGATTATCGGTAATAGACTAGGGCTGGCGAGAGCCGCTCGACAAAACCTATATGCAACCATAGGCCGCAAGTATAACATGGGTCTCTATGTGAAACTGCTTCTAATCAAGACTGTACTACTTCCTATCATTCTGTAGCTTCCACTGCCTGGGGCCAGTGCGCAGCGACATACAGACGCAGTATCCAGACGTTTATGAACGCTTGCTTACGAGCTGCCGTAAATGCTCCAAGATACATTTCTAACAGATACATATACCGGGACCTGAACCTTAACATCCAGTATGTAGACGCATACATGAGATAACACGCCGAAAACGTATTCGACAGAATACGAACACACACCAGTCCAGCGCTGCGTGACTTACACGAAGCGCTCCACAGGGACGACCCCAGATTTCGTGAAAGGGATAAATACATGAGGCCCAGGAAGCAGAACCAACGATCACCTCCAAGAGTCGCTGTCAGGCGGCTTCAGTAAGTATAAAAACTTTATAAACAGATCATACACACACACTTTCTTACATATACACACACACAGGCACTTAGTTTGCGATCAATAGACACTTGTCTCCGGTTAGGTTAAGGAGACCCCCATGCAAACATTACATACAGTAGAGTCACGACAAACAGAAATCAACGAATAACGAGAGTAAAAGCACCTAAAGACTGATTTTCGACCGCAGAAGGTCAGATGTCAATCTTACTGAAGTGCCCAGCAGCAGGTTGAGGTCCACTCAGAAAGGAGTGCGGGAGGATGGACGAGATTCTATCTTTTGCACACAGAAATCGCGTGGGGAAGATTCTATTTCAGGGCACTGAACCCCGGGGGGCATAAGGATTAAGGGATCATTTTGAACTTGATATTTTCCTTCCTTTCTTCGAAAACTTCCCAAATTTTTAGTAATGTTTTCATTTTTTTGATGCCAATGAAAACTACTTCAAGAACCAACAGTATTGGTTTCAATAAATAATAATCGTATTCGGTGGAAAGTAGCGACACAACAAGTATAGGAAATTAACAACTATCTTGAACCTAATCTGAAACTGAAAAATCGCTGATATATATGTACTGTTCTCAGGTATATTACCAGATCCATATCCAGTGATTAAAAATCGAGTATAGGAAGGGTGAGGGCAATACTTTTTTTCCTGGTTGACAAAGAAATTTAATTGATTTTGATTTTGAAAATGGATACAACTTGAACGGTTTAAAAAAAATCCACCCAATAGCTCATGATATGCGAGTGCTGATTGAAAAAAAATTCTGCATAAAAAGTTTTTTTGGAACAACTTGGCAGTGCCGCAACAGGAGTTCAAAAATAAAAAATCTTCAGAAATATGATACTTGAAGTGTGTTTTTTTGAAATCTTCAGAAACCCTGAAAATTGTAATATTGAATGATGTATTTGTATACTGGGTATTCCATTAAAAAAAGTATAACTAGATATGGTTGCCTTCGCTTATCTGAATCGTCCAGTATGTGAGAGAATAATTATAAAAAATAGTGTTGATCGACAACTATATGAAAAAAAATGAACAGTTTGAAAAATTGTTACGCCCGAGAGCACTAGACCGACGAAATCTTTTTGACTCACCCTGTATTTGCAGTCTCCAAAAGCCGCTAGACCATAAACGGATGCTAGTTTGGCTCACTTTCAAACTAACTTTATTTTGTCATAAGCTCCAGAGTACTATTTCGTTAAACTTTTTGCAATTCATTTCATATGACCAAAATATCACAGCCATTGTAAACAAACAATAAAGTTTTTAATGAACTTTGCTGATCAAAAAAGACCACTCAAATAGAGCCTCCATGATCCAAATGACACGCTCATATTTGAAAATTCACAAGTATTTCACTTGATATTGATGCCACCATACATAAGAATGCAATTCACCCTCATAAAGGGGGTAATCCACTCTTGTAATTTTTCAGCTCTTTCCGTCGAAGTCTTCCGATCAGACTTCATATTTTTATCTATCTTTTCATGTATTTGTTTCCACCAATGAGAAAAGTTGAATCTATCCCTTTCGTGGTTTTTAGCTTTGTCTTCCATACGAATATAATTCGAATGGAAGGAAACGAAAGGGGTAAATTCAACATTTCCCATTGGTGGTGATAATAACATACCCACTCGTACCATTCTTCATATTTCTGTCGTACATCACCTTCATGAAGATTCTCGTTTTCATCCGTAGATTTTAAAATACATAAGGGCTATAATTGTCGACCTCTAGAAATTTCTAGAACATTCTAGAGTATTCGAATGCATTCCAAAAAAATTCCACAACATTCCAAAATGTTGAAATGTTCTGAAACATTGTGGATCATTCGAAGCCTTTTTGTATGGGGGGAAGGGGGCTATCCACTGGCTATGATTTAAAGTTTATATTTTTATTCCAACGACCACCCTATCTCATATTATATTACTGGGCGAAGTATTAATAATAATCACATTT